AGTCTTAGTTTTCCCTGCGACAAGAATGCAGGCAGGGAGAGTTTCATAGACCTTCAGTTTGACCCAGTGTGGCTGCTCTGATGTTCTCAGTCCTTCCCCTGCTAGTTTTCTGAATGTTTCAATTAACTTTCAGGTATCTCAGAGTAATTTTGACTTGTAGAGTGCTATATATACAGCATTAGCAAAGAGCTGTAATATGGGGTGAGTGACCTAATTTGACAGTCACTGTAAGTGGTGGAAAAGCTGAAGGGTGTGAGCTTTCCAGGAGGTTCAAAGAGAGTTACAGAAGCGTCAAATTACTCTCAATTGCATTCAATCAATAAGCGCTCTACTCTCTCCACCATGGCCACTCAATTCACTCTACGGGGCAAAATACCCTTTCGGAAAACTGTGTTTAGCATGACAGTGAACTGCATTGAGTTGCAGTGGGTGGCTGAGATGGCAGACTTATGGTGTAATATGCATTAAAATCTCATCCACACACCCACTAAGAAGCACAGAGAGACAACAGCAGGAGGGGGACCCCAAACAGTACCCTGCCCCAGCTGCTCCCAGGCCCCATCCCAGGAGCCATCAGCCCATCAAAGGCCTGACTACACCAGCCCAGAGAAGCACAGGGGCACAAAGGCAGGTGGGAACCCAAATTAAGGACTCAGAGGAAGTGAAACCCTGTCTGAGTCTCTGCCAGGGCTGGCCTAGGACAACCTCAGCCTCCATGTCCGGGCATGAAACCCACCCAGATGAGTCAACACCAGAGCACCTTTGGGACTGAAACGTGCTGCTGCCTGGAGGTTTGAGACACATTATCATCTCTCAAGGGTGATGCCATAGGGAGTGTGCTGCTGAGGACCAGGGGACTCCTGACCAGCTGTATATGTGAATGTGATGGTCTGTACCAGCAACTGGAGCAAGCCTTTGGTGCCGGGGTGTCGTATATCCAGGTGCCAGCAACTGGGCAGACTGGAATCTTGGTGCAGATACTGAGCAGATTGAGTGTCCGAGCCCAGCTGCTGGAGGGATCCAGCTTGTACAAATGTGTATATATCTATATCTTCTCACTAGTGGACCTCCATCCTGTTCAGCCAGAGGAGAGCAGGATGAGTCCAACGGTGCTGTCTGTGTTCATTTGAGTGCTCTGTGTGTCTGTCTTTGTTATCTGCATAGCCAGTCGTGTATGTATATATATATATGGTGTATACATGTGCTTTGTGTTCATTTGCCTACTGGGTATGCATCTTCAGTCTAGATGCTGGTGGGATCCCAAGGCCCTAGCCTTGACGTTCTGGGACTGCCAGACCCAGCACGATATATTTTCCACTGGCAATATGCTTTCTCCTTTATTTGTAGTGTTGTTGAAAGTAGAGTAAACTTGGGAGAAGAGTAGAAATATATGTGGTATTTAGTATTGTAATTTCTCGTTTCCTTCCTTTTGTGGGTTGAACTTGTAATGTATGCAACAGGCATAAAACTACTGCACAGAAAACTTGTTGGTGTGTTCATTTCCTAGAATTTGAAATCTGACGATTGAGATGGAGCTTGGGGTGGAGTAGGCAGTTTGAGGAGCAACAAGTAACAAAAAAAGTTGTATATAAAGCTTTGTGTGTGTTTATAAACTATAGGCTAGTGCCTACCCATAAAATATTCAGTCATGCGCAAAGTTTATGTATCAAAAGTTTGTGGAACAGTGAGTTTCAGATATGAATGTCAGTGATTAAAAAAGAAAACATCTCTAAGTCTAAATATGAGAAAGACACAATATATTTTAACTATATAGACAAACATGAAAGGCCAATGTCCTTCAACAAAGCAACTCGAGCTCAGAATTCACTGCTTCCTGTCGAGAAGTATATGAAAAGAAACCAAAAATACTCCCAAGAAGTAACCTGTGCTATAAATCAATGTATGTGCCCATGGCAGAGGGGTTGGGACTAGATGATCTTTAAGGTCCATTCCAACACAAACCATTCTATGATTCTATGTATAGAAATTCTTCAGTAGGTGACCTAGTTTTAAAGACCATTGGGAATTTTTGTTCATTGCCTGTAGAGAAGCTGAGTGACCATGAAAATCCTGCTCTGATGAAGCCCATGCAGCCTTGGAAATAGTGTTGGACTGAATTTCCTCATTGGCATAATTCCACTAAATTAAAAGAAGTGATGTGAAGACCGAACATGGCCCTGTGTTTTCATATTTGAGCGAAAGGACCTTAAAATGTTTGGTTTAGTTTAGGTCCCAAACAGAAGCTCTTTTGTAACATCCTAATTGCTTAATTCCTATTTTTGTTCCCTTTTCTGTGAGGTGAGAATGTTACATTCCTTTGTTATCAGTGAAAGTATTCTTCTTTCTCCAGGGAAAAAAACCCTGCTGTTAAATCAAATCAAGCATATTTTACTAGATTTATGCTTTCTTTTTGTCAGTGATACATGCAGATGTCAGGAGAGATGTACTAGCATATTTTATCTATTTGTCTGGAGACAAATTTTTGCTCCCTAAGGTTGTGTAATTTTTCAGTTTCAAGCAGCTGATTTATATTACTTTTGTGTGTAATGGTTCTACAGCCAGATCATTTTGATTGCCAGGACATCTTATTCGGGCTCCATTTCTCTTACGTGGATTTGACTTCATTTTTGTATACTTTAAAGTATGATGAATTGATACCTTACGTAATAGGAAAGACGTAAAGTGGAACGAGTATGTTTACAAATGACTTTATTCCTTTCTACTTTCAAAGGAATTTATCTTAACTTTGCATGGTATATATTTGCAATAATGTCTTTCACTGTGAAACTTAAACATCCCTGAACTCTTACCAAATGTTTCTTCTGTATAATAGTGCTTTTGCAAAAAGACTTGTTACTATACATGGATTTTTTGGTAGCTGGACTATTTTCCTACATCAAATCTTGTCAGGCTCGCAAGTGTTTCAACAAATGAAGTGATTTAGTATATGACTTTAAAGTTTTCTGAGTGAGGTAAAAAAGTAAAGCTGAAACAAAAATCTTTGTCACTTTTCTTTATGTGAAGAGGTTCTGTCTGTATTCTCCATATCATAATTGGAGTAAAACTTTATTTATGATGTATCTTCTCTTCTGCAGCAGCCTGCAAGAGCGTTCACTGGGCTCATCTCACTCTTCGGTTTGCTCTTCAGAATGAATGCTTCTGATGTGAGGCCGCTTTACAGGAAGCATGACCTCATGCTGCCGCTGTGCCGCTGATTGCACGGGCTGTTTTCAAAAGGAAACGGGACTTCATAGACCTGCCTTTCCGAAGACCCAGGGCTGATCTCTTCCAGGAAGCTGCAGAAGGAGCACCCTCCACATCTCAGAGGCTCTCGTGTTGATGATGAGGAACTTTTTGGCATATGTGCGTTAATAGTGAAATGGATTTTCCAGGTTTGGAAGATTTTACACATATTTATCTCTTAATATGTTTGTCAGCTGAGGAATATCTAAGTTTTGGATTCATTTCTATGCTTCAGGAAGTTTTGTATTTTTGTGAATGTTGCTATCATTACCTGCAGGGAGAAAAGACTAGACTGCTCTTCAAAAGTGACTGATACGTGTGAACAAATAAAGCTGCCTTTGTAGACGCTTGTGTTTAATAGGTACAATAGAATAAAACTGGTTGCCTGGGCTTCAGCTATTTTAATTGTTAGTGCTACGTTCTGGTACATACTAATGTAAGTATTTAGAATGTAAACATGGACAGGGTATCACTGGCTACTAATTCAGGGCATCATTAGCTTAAAGATTAATTTGATTTTTGGCGGGAAGGGTGATTAAAACTGACTGGTTTGATCAGTAACTTTTTTTTCTTATATATATATTACACCTTTTGGGTGTTTTAAAATTCAAGGGAGGGTGTTGCTTTAAACTTTTATTTGAATTCTTGACGCTAAATATTACCGTGTTCACCTCAGATTCACTGAAATTATTATTTTGAAATTATTTGAATTTGAAAATTAAAATTTTGAAATTATTATTCAGATTTCTTAAAGCTGCTGGCCTCTTCTCCTGTCAGAGTTTAAAGGTTCTGTATCAATGCTCATTTTGTGGATTACAGGTATAATACTACTGCTTCATCGTACAGTGGTGGTCGAGATGCTTTGTTTTGGCTTGCTTATATTGTTACTATAGCTTCTCATGCTATTAATAGCCCAGAAATGGGGTTGAATATTAAATAAAAGCAGGACACTGGGCAGAATTGTTGACAACATGATGTTTCCATGCTTTCTTGAGCATTGATTGAATTATGATTTTTAGGAACCCTCTTCGTTAACTCATGAGACAAAAATTTTCATGATCAAGGACAGCAAAAAAATCCATTGGACTGCCTGTCCTATGACTGCTTACAGAAGCTTGGTGTTATCATTACTTAAAATAGTTTGAAAGCAAATTACAACTGCTTATTAACTGTTCTTCAAAAGTCGTCACCTCCCCAGTAATATATTTGCTTATGTATATCTCTCACTTTCTGTTATAAATATATGTATAGAGTCTATTTTACCATAAATTTTACTTCTGCGAAGGATGGGAGGTAAACAAACATGCGTCCTGCAGAGACATACCTTGCAAATTTATGAGACAATTCAAATTAAAACCAGAAGGACTGGTTTGTTCTGCCACTTTGATTGGGATGTGTCAACACTTTCTAATGAAAGCACTACCCATATGTAAGCTACTATTCTTACGCTTTTTTAGTAGTTGCTGCTTTATATTATCACAACTGAGCAAATCACATGCAGTACAACTGTGTTATGGGTTTCAGTTGCTGGAAAGTCTCACTCTCAGACTATTAAAGAGTTGTAGTAGATGTAATTGATGCTGAAGTATACACCTGCATCCCTTTTCAAACAAATTTGCCTTAGATTCAATCACTTTTATCTAAGTGAGAATATATTCTAACTAATAATGATATATATTGATGATATCTTACGCATCCTGATCTTCAAAGAAGGCAAAATAAACCATACTTCTGTTTCTTTTTAAACTCTTTTACAGATAATCTATATTGCCTGTTATCCCAAGGTGTATGAAACAATCATTTTCAAGATGCACGGAATATCACGTGTTGCATCGACACCAGGAACAAGTAAATTTGTGCACATTCATCTGAGATTTTGATTAAAAAAAATTTGTTGTGGAGGAGATCTTGTTTGACCAATAAGATATGGGATTTTGCAGGGGTTAGTTTATGTCCAGATCTACAAACCAATTATCGAGTTCTTCCTGTATTTTCTTTTAAAATTTGGATTAATTTCTTTGTTTTTAATATAGTATTTTTGCACATTGATAATCATGATTTTGCCTAAAATAAGAGAAATTATTTCAGGAACTAATTATATATGAAAAAAATAGGTCTACAGCATGTCAATCTATGAAATACACCATCGCTCTCACTTTTTGTACAACTTGCTCTGTGGCATTCTGACTGATTCTACTTGATCTCTTTGTACCTCCACCAAGTTTCTTCCAGTTGTCTCTTCCTCAAGTTCTTGCAAGTTTTAGAGCATAGTTTTCTCATGGTAAGGCATAGAAGAAATAATATGTATAGGAGTATGATAATAGGACTGATTTGTAAAAAATACCCTGGAAGGTTTTACTACACTTCTTTGGTGACCCTGCCTTGTCCCAAGGCTCAGTCAGCCTTTCACATCCAGGCTGACTGACAACTGAGCTCCACATGAGGATAAACACGATTACCAAAGTGGAAATACTGACCTTCGTCTTTTCTTTACCTTAGCTCATAACTGAACACAAACAAAAAAATAATTCTCTTAGACCTATTCCTCTCATAGGTGAATGATGGACATTTACTAACAGTGTTGTAAGGATGATGCTCTAAAGGTACAAGAGAGACAAAGGTGATACAGAGAAAGATCATATCATCTATCTTTCCAAGTAATATCAGATAAAAATTCTCCCTGTGGATAGCCATTGCTCATATTCTGTACGATTGATTCTGTCAGATGCTGAAGATCCGGCAGCACTTTGCAGGCTTGAGCCATGGTAATCCAGACAAATTCTATTTCCTTAGATTTCTGCCACAATATTGTTGTCAAATCTTTGTCACTGTCACTATCTCTATGCCTGTTGTGCCATATCTGCAATTTCCATCTGAAAAATATATTGTAAAGGCAATGGTGGCCCTTTCATTCCAATCAGTACAGGTAATATTTTTTGCATGAAGCAGATTTCTGTGAAAACACTATTAAAATTACTGCAGCTATTGCATTTGTGTCCAGAATTACTTCTCTCAAGGTTGTAAGCTGTGCACAGTACAAGTATGTGATTACAGTTGGCTCTGCTTCTCTGTTGTCCTGGTTGAGATGAGTTTTCTATAAACACTATGTCTTTCCTCCATTCTTTCATCTATTTTATCTCCTTTAATCTCTTCCTTAATTTCCTTTTCTTCTTTTAGCTTCTTTTATGATATTTTTGGTATACAAAAGGTACCTGTCAGTGAAGACCTGTCTAACTATTTGAGCTGTCAGTGGATATAATAACAACTCCTTCCTATTTGGCCTTTGCCTCTGCAGGTTCAAGAGTGTTTAATAGAGAACATAGACGCAGCCCCTCACAACATATTTTTCCAAGGTATTGAGGAAAATTATACTTGTTCAATGTTATTTTTATTTTGTTGGAGGCTTTGTAAAATCCCTTTTGGGCCACTTAGAATTGTAGCGATGATATTAATTTAATTACTGCTTTAAATGGAAGTTCAGAAGTATTGCTATGGAGATTGGAAGTGCTGTCTTTGCAATTACAAGGTTTTGGAGTATCTCTGTTCCACCTGTTTTCCCCTCGACTGAAATTATGCTATCCCTCTGTGACCTGCCATATGGGATCGTTAAACCTGCTACTGAAACGCATGTCAGCCACTGAATCAATCCAGTGTCTTCCTTTCTTTCCACGGATGTCACTGCATGGCTACTTGAAACTCAAAGGTGTTAAGGATAAAGGACTCACCATAAATCAAATTTTACTTGAGCTGAGTAAAATGTCTACAACATATAGATTCTTTCACCTCTGTCACTGCTTACTTCTGTTTTAAATACCACATAGTGTATTTTTCTGAGCTATATTTCCTCTCAAAGTCTATTGTATTTCAGTGTTGGATGAAGTTATCATGATGCGTAGACTTTATCCATTGTTCCTCTAGCTGCATGGTTGTCATGGATTAGCCCTGGGCAGCAACTAAGCACCTCACAGTCCCGGCAGGACGAACTCTGCCCAGCAGGTGCTCTTGGAGCGGGGCACTTTGGAGCTCTCCAAGCCGTGCCACTGTGGCCATCTCCAGTGAAGTGGCGGTGGCCCAGTGTGAGGAGCTGCTGACCCAGGAGGCCGAGGGGCCAGTGCCCCGCCTGCCCCCTCTCTTCACTGCAGGTCCTGCATGGCGTGGGTTTCTTTGTCCCTTCAGAAATATGGCATTTGCAGAGGCAATGACTGGCTTGGCCTTGGCCAGAGGTGGGTCTGACCTGGCCGAAACCAGATCCAACTTGAAGACGGTGAAGCTTCTTGCAGCTCCTTACAGAGGCTATCCCTGTAGCCCCTACTCCACTACCAAAACGCCACCACACAAGCCCAGCACAATGGTATTCTAAGATTTGTGATAATTAAAAGTCAGGTACCCTTCACTCTTCATTAAATATGACTGGGTTGTGGAAAGCAAATGAATCCTGCCTGATTCAGAGGCAGTCAGGCTTGTGCCATGCAGAGTAACTCAGAGAAACAAAATACTGGAACACTTGTAACAGCTCCATGTAGGTGTAGATCTGGCAGGACTCCTTGGCCAAGAGCACTGCCGTGGAAACACACCTTGCACTTCTCAATTCAAGCTGGCTCCATGCGTTCATGAAGCGCTCCGCATGACATGAAGCCTTCCTGTAACCTGAAGCTCTGGAAAGTGTGGTGGAGGCACACTCTAGCTGGCTGAAACCCCCTAGGTCCAGAAATAATATCATTATATCCACATATTTTAAATCTATGTCATTACCAGCCTCCATCAGCTGGTAATGTAAATTCATTAATGTTAAATGATCGGTTTGCGCTGTCCAGACATTCGCTAAATTAGAGGGTTTCATTTCTCCTTTTCAGTTGTGCTCGTACCTTTTTGGACAATGACCCTGCCTATGAGTGTTGTTCCACAAATCCTCTGACAGGCTCCCTTTCCACATGTCGCCGCAGCCCTCGGCTGCTTTCCAATGGGTATTACGTTTCGACAGAAGACAGTTTTCTGTCTGACGAAGAGGGCAACGTAACACTGACACCATCCCAGACAAGTGTTACATATAAAGAGAATTTAGTTCGGTAAGTGAACTATACACAGATTTTCCTGAATGTTGGCAATTGCCTCCACATCTCTGGACTTATCTGGAGGTACCTGTGTGACTGTCTACATTTTGCTTGGCATAAGATTCTCATTGCTTCTTAATGAGAACATCTCAGTTGACTTAGTTTATAGAGTGTAGTGATTGAAATAATTTTATTTTCAGTCCTGTCTAATCTCACTACCCAAAAACTCTTCAGTACATAGTTGTTGCTGTAATTGGAGTTGTGTCCAATGAAGAAAAAGGAGAGCTACAGCTCAATTTGCCAATGAGGTGTTACCATGATAAGGAATAAGAAAAAAATGTGTGTATATGTATGTGTAACTCATGTATATATAAAAATTAAAACGTCTAGTCCTGTAATTCTTACTTAGTGAAAAATATCTCTTGATTTCAGAACATCACTTTAGAAAGGTATATAAGATGTAGTTTAAAACAGTTGAAGTACAGTGGATTCAGACCAAATGGGATATGGGAGGGTAAAACTCATGGATAGCATGAGACCACTCACACTAGTATTAGAGCCCAATAACTGTAGTATTATTTGTTCTCACGATACCCAGTATTACAATACATGATATATTGCCATGCTGCTAATACATTCCCTGACATTATTGCAGTGTGCAGCAGTCATTCTTGGTGACATACCCAGGAACAAGAACAGAACTAGGAACAGCACCCAGAACCTGGATCTTTCATGCCAGTCTTGCAAGCTTTAGAGCTCTGTCCCTGCTCAACAAGAATAACTTACTCTATTCCTTGACAACATGTCTTGCTTTCTAGTGTATTCAGGCGAAGGAAGAAAATCCGTCGCTCTCTTGCCAGTTTGTTCAATCTTGGTGTCTCCAGTTCATGGCTCAGCAGCACCGTCCTCAGCAATATGGATTCCTCCCATATAGATGATTCTTGGCCTGATGGATGCAATAAACTAGAAGCCAGTCAGAGTGATGTTGGTAAGCCCTGACCAGCTACCGAGTGATGGAGCTACAACATTACAGTCTCTATTTAGTGGGACTTGGGTATGACTTTCTATAGGTTTTGCAGGGATTGTCTGCCGAGATGTGCAGGTAAAGGATAGATGAATGACAGAATGGTAAGTGGCGAATTGAGCTCCTGATGTTAAAACAGAGCATGAGACCACAATGGTGCCAAAAGGGCATTTTTAGACTGAATTTGAATTCAAAGTCATCACCAGTGATGTTTGTGCTGGTGTCATTAATAGCTGACTCTGTCTGCTTTCACCTGGCTATTTTAACAACTTCGTTGTGTTACACTCTATGCAGCTCTGTCTTTACTCTGCCTATTTTCTCCTGCGTACATCGAACCTGCCAATTCCCTACCATGAGCAATTTGGAAACCTCCCTGTCCTTAAGTAATTCATTTCCACCCCCTGATAAAATTCATTAAAACAAATTCTCAAAGCTCTTCTTTTGTGTGGTCTCAATTACATATGCACTTTTTGTAGGTGATTCAGACTTTTCTTCTGAATATAATAGCTATGTGCCACAAAGGCAAACTCCAGCATCCAATGGAGCCCCTCTCGCCAAGGATGAGGAGTCCCTTCAGCCTGGGAAACTATTTTGTGCTTCACAATCCTACTCTTCAATTATGATAAATGCAAATGAAGAGACTTTGAGCAATGCAGGTATGTTACGTTTTTATCCTGATATGCCTTGTTTTTAGAGTGAACTGAAAACATTAATATGGAAAATGTTGATATAAGCTCTTGTAGAATAGAATTTATTCCAAGAAACATAAATTCTAAAAGATTGCTTAAAAATAATACAATATTAAAATCGGTATTTATTTGTTCACGCCTCCCTGCTCACATCTTTTCCTCTCCTATTTTTAGTGATAAATGAAAAAAAAAAAGTGGAGTGAAGAGGAAAATGGAGGAAAAGGGCATGGGAACAAAAACTGAAACAGGCAATTATTCAGAAATGCTTGTTTGCTGAGAACATGGAGAGCACAGTGTCTCTATGGTTGTGGGGGAAAAAGACTCCTGAGAGACACTCAGAGCATGAAAATTAGGTTTTTGCTTTGAATCACTTTAGGCAAATTCTTGTAAAAAGAAACTGAAGAGCCTGGCCTCACAGGCTGAAGGTAGTCTTTGCAAACATCTCCTGTCATATATTCACTTTCCTGAACACTCATTCAAATTATTTTCCTGAATTTTTGTTTTAGAATTCAGGACAGTGCAAAACGCTCTTTCTCAGATGGTCGCACTGATCGTGTGTTTAATCATGTCAGTATGTACAAGGTAATTTTTATTTCTTTTATTTGTTGTTTCTGATACTAAAGCTTACTCCATTTCGTCTGGTGAATAAAACATAAATTAAAAGTCACTTTTTCAAGATTAAGTGAAAAATATTTTCATGCGATAGTCAATGCAGGCAACTATCTGGGCTATATAGAAATGAGCAAAAATAAGAAATATGTACGCAGCTAGGAAAACTACTTTGTCAAGCGTGTTTGGACAGGGATTTTGAAAGGCTGAGAAGAATCAGAAGGGATCCATGTCTTTCTAAGTGACCAATATGGGTGTTTTCCTCAGCCTGGAAATGCTGAGGTCTTTATTTCTAGGGGAGATTATCTTCAATAGTTTAAGAAATTTAAAGTTTCAAATTGCAGTTCACCTATGAGAGTTCAGAGGGTTCATCTGCAAGAACCTTCTCTCCTCCTCCCACCCAGGCTTCACCCCTGTCAACCCAATATGCATTCCTTGTTTTTTTCTGACCTTTATGTGTATTCTTATGTTCTCAGATATTTTCTGGGAGGATTTTCTGCCACTTTGTTGCTGATAATTTTAGTTTGTAAGTGTAAACTTTCTTTATATTGAACACACAATATTCTACTAAGTCGCATCTGAGGACGAAAATCCGTCCCTGGATGTACATTCACAGCTCTTGTTGACACTAATAAGAGCAATATATGGGTGTATGAGGACAGAATGTAAACTCCAATCAGTTACAGGATTTTGCCTTTAAATTTCACAGTTCTTTTGTTCCAAGATGCTGCTGTGTCATCTTTCTTCAGTCTTGACACATCTTTCAAAACAACTAAGTTTTGGTAAGTGGCTCCAATGTCATGTGATGAATAGAGGAATTTAGAAATTCTATATTAAGAGGAAGGAGAGGTTTCTTCTGCTGTTTTCCTGTCAAAAGATAGAAGGCATGGTCTGAAGTTATTGATGGAGGATTTGGCTTTTCCTGTTACTGATTTGTACTCATAGAAACTTTGTTTCTTTTAAAAACTGCTTTTCATAATGTTGAATAACAGTCGTAATACCTATTCGTTGGCAGAAAAGGGAGATAAACCTAATATGCCATAACATGAAGATGCAAAGACAGAGCAAGGATAGTAACTTATTGTGACTTCAGACATGTGCTTTCAAGCCTTGCACCGAAGTTCACTCCCAGGATACCAAACCAAGCCTTTATTTTTGACTAGAAATAGTAAAACCAGCTAAATATGCTGCTAGACATATCACCACCTTCCAGGGACTACAGAATTGATGTGACTTGGCATCCCTAGTCCGAGGCACCATTAGGTTCAGGACAGTTTTGCCTTTAGCTTATACTGTAGTCTCATAAATGTCTTAGAAGTATTGTATCAGTCTAATGAGTTGATTTAAGGTGCTGATGTTGGTGTTTCAGATTGCTTTATTTCAAAGTTTTGCACAGAGCTGTAACTTCTAAATCCTTCTGGAGAAAGACTTAACATGTTTAGAAGATCCGAATTACATTTTTAGAGCAAACTCATACATAGGCCTCCATGCAGAAAGCATGTGTGTATGTGCTGGATTTATGAATTATCTTTCAATTTTTATACAGCAGAAAATTCTTCTGAGGGTGTAAAATATGAAATGCTGCTAAAACTAAAAGCATTTGGGCTTATCTGAATTTTTGTGTGGCGAAAGTGAAGCTCAACAAGGACATTGTTTGTTTCTGAAACTGTGTCAGGGTTCAGGAGTTCAGTGTATCCCGAGGGCAACAAGACAATCTGGCAGATCTCTTAGCCTTTGAATTGAGTATATTCAAAGTTAGAAACAAGAGGGCAGAACTTGGAGACCCACTTTGCAATGATAATCTGAGACTTTGAGCATCCAAGGGTCTTAGCACAACACCTCGGATACTCAGGGATGATATATTCCACTTTGTCACTATGCCATTATTCCAAATAAAATCAAGGTCATGGATTATAAGCCTCATTCTGGAGAGCCTGCAGTTTTAAGAAGGACAAAAAAACAGTATGATTATCCTACATCTAGCTTTGCCCCATGTGGGCTAGGTGACCAGGTTAGGACTAGCATGTTGCAAACACATGCTCCAAAACACTGCTTTCTGACTTCCTGAATAGTTTAGCCCTGACTCATAAACAAAGCTGTTCTTCACAAGGGGAAAACAAATACACTCTGAGAGCTTTTCAGGCCCTGGTGTACAGAGAATACCTCTTTTATGCTCATCACCAGTGAGAAGCTACCTGCTCAAACAAGTAGTCCTGCAGCTTAACTAGATTTGGCAAACCAGGACCTACATGTATACTGATTATAACAAACTGTGGTTTAAATCAAGACATACAAAAATGTATGATTTTTTTTTCCTTCCTGGAAATAATTGTAAAGAAAGAATAATTGGTGAGTATATGTTTAAGTTTAGAAAAGTTCCTTACATTTTGGGGTAAACCCTATTAGGAGATAGGGTTCAAGCATGCCAGCAAGGAAAAAACATGTTTTTCAGTAATGGGCAAAACAAGTCCTCCTTTTTCCAAGTTTAAATTGATCAGTAGGGACAGTGCTGTACCGCTCTAACTTGGTACCACTCCATTGAAGGGGTGAAGCAACATCACCATGTTTCATCCCAGAATATCTGGAAAACACTTACAGATTCTTTTTTTCCCTATTCTTTTTCAGACAAACCTCATTCTCAGTCTCCAGTTTCTGTTTGTCAAGTATTTTTAAGTCTTGGGGCAGCTCAGGACCCTTAAAACAAGAGCACTGATTTATTTGTACTAAGAGTTGGCCGTCCCAGTCCTGGATCCTTCATCTTTTTGCTTTGAAAAGATAAAAATGATAAGAAAGAAATGAGAAGAAAGAAGAGTGCTGTGCTTAGGTTTGTGTTCCTTATAGTGTGGATAAAACAACCTTGTTCATCAGTTCGCTGGATGAGTGCAGTTCAGCTTCTGAGGTCTAAAGGCATCTGCACAGCTGCAGACACAACCTGGAAAGCTCAGTCAGCCCTCAGAAGGAGGACGTTCATCCTGAGAACAGAGAATTTTAGAACGGTATGCAGGCATTTGATCACTTTGCACTTACTAAAGCCTATGATGAAAAATACGCCCTACTCATCCAGTGTGCCAAGCAGCAGACGCTAATATGGCACTTCTCAAAGAGAGTGGAACTGTTTATGTAAGGGCTGCAACTCCAGAACTTTAAAGCTGACTCTGATTTTGAAAGCCAGTATCAGTATTAACCAAAGCAGGTACTACAGGATGAAGTGGAGAACTCGGGACTTGTTGCCTAGCAGGAATAAACTAAATACAGACTGGCACAGGTTACTGTGAGACAGGACCTCCAGCATTTCAAAACAAGATTGTCTCTTGCCTTTTGCAAAAACTTAAAAGCAGAGTAGTTACCTCCGTATATTTCAAAATTGGTTCACTAACAGTTTTCATTTTTCCTCCTCCTCCAATTTATTTTCCTTCACTCTTCAGCATCAAACTACTGGATACCTCCTTATGGCCATCTTTACACATGTCCCCATGGAAAAAAATAACAAATTTTTAGTATTCTTCCTTCAAAATACAATCCATTTTTTTTTTTTTTATTCTGGTAAAACTGTCAGTGAGGCCATGCTTGTTGGTGAAAACAGTCATGAGAAACAATTGCTGTACCTCTGGTCTCTTATGTCAATGAAGTCCTATGTCAGCATGGGGTCCTACGAGCTTTTTGAAAACAAATTGATGGCAAAAAGTGTTTTGCAATTCCCATTGAGTTTTTGGTAAACAGCTTATGTCTTCCAACACTTTATGTATTAGTTTCTCATGATAACATGCTGTCAAAAATAATGGATTTGGATAGTGGCTGAATACATGTGGTAACATATTTCAGAAGCTTTGTTGTATCATGCATGTATACTGCCTTTTGGCCTTTAAGCTGCACATTAAGAAAAGAGAAAAAAAATGAAGAAAGAAGTGTTATCAAAAGGAAAGGACTCTTGAGAAAACCAGGAATTAGGACACAGAGAAGCAATGATGAATCTGAATTATCTGGATTCAGACACAATAATACAAGACCTGCAGGTATTACTTTGGAAACACTGAGCCCTATTTTTCAGGTTGGATCTTTGCTACAGTAGAGACTAAATCACATGTAGAAACTGTGGGTAACCAAAAACTGTTCTCTTGTGACTCCAAGCTTTTAATAATCTGCTTCTTAAAATATCTCCCTGTATGTTAGTTCAGCTATGACAACATGGATTTCTTCTTCCTGTGCAACAAAATGATGATAGTGTGTGAGGATGCTATTGCCCACCAAATCATTATGTAACTATTGCTGCTTCTATTCTACCTGTCCCCTGGTGTGCTAAAAATAAGGCTAGCACAGCCCCAGTTGGTAAGTCAGACAGGAAATGGTGCCTGTGGAAGGGCTGGGTCTGCCAATGGGGTACGATCAGGCTGGCAGGCATAATGAGAAGGATCTGAGAACTCAGCAGCCAAAACACAAAAAAACCCAAAAGGTTCTGGAGAAAGAAAGAATCAACAAAACTGAAACACCACTGTCTGTCCAATGCTGTGTCTAAGCCAAGCTTAAGCAGGTTATAGCTGTATTTCTAACATCAAAAATCCGAACAAGTGACGCAATGAGGAAAAGGATACTTGAAATCAAGTTAAAATACACATTTCTCTTTCAAAGTGTAAATATATTTTGAAGATAAGCATCAATAGCTCGGCATTAA